TATAGAGGATCTTTCTTTCCCATCCTGACTGTGGGGAGCATAACTCTGCTCCTCAGCTCCAGGTCACTCTTTGGGCCATGGGTGCTTGATGTCAAGGTCAAATGCAGAAGCCTTGCTGGTGTTCACGTGCACGCCACTAGCTAAATGCTGCTCACGGTGCTCCTTCCACTGGAAGATGCCTCGCTGTTCCCACTGCCTTCTCCCCTTTCCCCTCCCCATGCCAGGAAAGACTCTTTGCCTTTTAGGTGGGGGCAGATCACAGCAGATGTATGTTCTCCTTTGAGATTAGCCCACTGTTTGGCTTAATTAATCCTGACATGTTGCTGTTGCTATTACAGAAGAAACGTCAAGAGAAATTAGACCAGCTGGTAGCAAGAAAATGGGGGAAACCAGTGCTGAGCAGTGCCTCACTTTCCTGGAGAAGTTTGGTTTGCCTTTCCAGCAGAGGTGGCAGGGGACTGAAACGCTGTGACCTGTGTCAGATGGTCTTGGCACAGTCCCCTCACACCAAAATCCATTGAGAGGACATTAAGGAGCCATTCCCCAAACAAGCATGGCTGGGAGTCTGCCTAGCAGCAACAAGCATGGCTGGGCTTTTGTGAGAACCAGGACGGTCCTGGGATTCAGCTTGGCTTAGGGTCCCTCTTCCCTGAACCATGAGGTTGAGAGGAGCTCTGGGGTTTAGCTCAGCTCCTCTGGGAGGAGAGGAGCACTGCTGAGTTGCTCATTTATGTTCTCTTATTTTATCTATCAGCACCTTTAGCTGCTGTTTCTCACCTCTTCCCTCACCCTTATATCTATCGACTTGAATGATTTCATACACCAATCAATTTTGCCAGATTTATCAACAGCTTTCACACTTTTTTTTTTTTTTTTTTTTTTTTAAAGCAAACAACCTTCATATTTTGAAGTTCCATTAGACAACTGAATTTCAGCTTTTTCCTCTCTGCGATGATCTGATTTTAAAAAATTATAAGCTTGCATAATAGTACACAGTGCAGCTGCACAACACGGATATATTGTAAATACATATTTCCCCCTATATGAACATCTCCTTCTCTGTGCATTCCTGTGGGACATGCAGCTTGTAAGTCTGCAGATGCCAGAAGCCTGGAGTAGAATTGCACTGATGGAGAACTGATTTTGACACTTAAAGATTGCCCATAGTTCAGCAGCGTATTTTCTGCCGCATGTTTTGGGGATGCAAACAAGTAGAATTTCTCTTCTGCTTGATGCATTGGCAAAAATAAATAAATAAATAAATAAATAAAAATAAAAGCTTCTTTTTTGTACCACAGACAGGCACTTACTTGCCAAAGGGATGTTACTCATATTTAAATGTTAAGAACAAGACCTTGCCATAGCACGGCATCTCTGGCTTGCCAAGCTCAGAAAGAAGTTTGGCTTTTAGTAATGTAGAAGGAATACATTTCCCCTGTTTTGAACCCACAGACTGCACGTACTGTTGAAGGACTTTGAAGTCTCTGTTCTGCTGACTGTGCTGGGCTCAGTGCAGGAGTGCTTCACTGGGACTCCTTGAAGGAGAGGACCATGAGCTGCATTGCATCCAAGAAGCAGAAGAGAGACCAGGAACTCTAGGAGAAGCAAAAAGGAGGATGGATTTGTGAGGGATGTGCCACTCTATGGGGAATGAGAGCCTGTTTACAGTAGAATTGCTGGCTTTGGTAGCTGTGACTGCAGTAGGTGCTCTACACTGCCAGGCCTCTTTGCTTTGTACCAGTGAGCTCCAGGCCCTGGGGCTTCTTTGGAGTTGATCTAGGCACAGGGCTACCCATGGCAGGAGGCTGTTCGAGGCAGCTGTACAGTCGTGGTCTCCTGCCCATTATACATATGTGTACAGAGGAAAACTGGGCTATTTTTGGCCAAGAGTGGTCAGGGTAAAGCCTGGTTCTCTGCTGAGCTGTTGGAGACCTGGTGGCAAATCCCTTCTCTCACTTTGGCCTTGATCAGACAGCGGGCCATTGCCACAAACATGGTGCTTGTTGCGTTGGCTTCCAAATAGCTTTTGATCTGGGACTGATGCCAGCTGCCTTCACCCCAAGCCTCCACAGGTGAGCAGAGGTTTCCATGCTGATGGGAAAAACAGCTGCTTCAACACGCTGCCACTGCTGCTTTGGTGGGTTTCCCTGTCAATCTGCCAGGGAAACTGTAAGCCTTTTGTTCCTGGGCCCAAGGTATGCAAAACCATCCAGCTTAGCTCATATCAACCATTTTGATGATTTCAATTAATTTTTTTTTCCCCCCATGATTTGAATTTGGGAAGGCTCCTGTGAACTGCTCTCCCAGCAGTCCTGCATATCCCTATGTTCCTGCAGGGGGAACAAGAGCAAGGTGAAGTATATCTCCTTTTCTACTGGCATGGCTGAGTCTGAAAGAAGGCACCTCTCCATTGCCTGAGGCTGCTCTTACACACAGCCCTTCCCCAGGTTAGTTAAAACAGCACGATCGCCTTCTCTCCTTCCTCTCTGTGTACTCTCATGTCTATTATAAGTGGCTTAAATCTGTTTTTAATTCGTAATTTCCTTGCAGACTTAACTTGGATCATCATAAGTGGTTTCCAATCCTTACAGAGTGCTAGCAAAGGTGGGGAGGTCTCCACTAAGTGTATGTAACACCAGGACAATTTTATGGGTGTGCAAGCTCCAAGCAAGGTGACTGGGAGCATGTGAATATTCACAGCTTTTAAAGTCAAAATAAATGCCGTGTGGATGGCCTAAAAGATTCAAACAATGAATGCAATAGTAGGAACTGCCATGAATGTCCATGAGCAAAGTTTGTCCAAAAACCTGTACATTGGATTATTCACCCAGCTACAGCTTCTCCTCAGGTAGACTTAGTTAGCAATGGCTGGAACTGGGGAAGGCAAAGTAAAAAGAACATCAGACATGACAACGGAAACCAAGCATTATTTCATGTTTCACTAATTGTTGCTTAACTATCAGATGTCTTCACTCGGGGTGGGAGGACATGGCCTTTGTGAGGTACGGAGCCCTCTGGCAGGAGCAGCAACATGCAGATATACCCCTGAGAATTTCTACACTGGCTCTGAAGTGAGCTCTGAGGATGTTTTTTCTTTGTTGTACTGCTGGACCTCCTTGAAAGAAGAAGAGTGGCTGCCCATTCACCATGGGACTGGAAGGGAGTAGGAGTGGAATGACCTGAATGGGTCAGGATGGAAGATTTACTGGTGGTTCTCCTTCCCCTATATCCATTAGCTTTTTGGATAAAGCTCTAGAACTTAATTATCATTAGTGTCTCAACAAATTATGATAAGTTTTGGGGACCAGCTCCTCTGGGCACTTTAGTAAACGTCAACGTTATTAGACATCTTCCAGAAAGCCAGCAGAGTCTTTGCACATTTGCTTCAATGTTATTAATTTACAAGGGTTACTTCAATTAGGAGAGTCCGTTAACTTGTAAAACTTTACTTATTTACACTGTCTCTTGGAGAGGGATTTTCTCAAAGTGTGATGATGATAAGCTTAGGCATTACAAATCCTCTTGCTGCTTTTGTCAACAGGCAGGCTGAGAGCATTAATCAGAGGGATGCACGCTTCCTGGCAGCGGTTTTGCTCCAGGTCATCACCACTGGGCACAGACCTGTGAGGCACCAGCTGTCCCACCAAGTTTGGAGGGGTTCTGCCCATGGGCATCAGCCTATCCCGGGGCTGGATATCCCATCTGAAAGGCTGAAGAAAAAAATGAGGTTTCTCATAAACCTCTTCCTAGGCAGTAGACAAGACAATGCTCTCTTTGCCTCAAAAGTGAAGTGCTCTCCCTAAAGCATTCCCTTCAGCTCAAGGCAATTTTCTTGCACCATACACATCTCTGCTGCACGAAGCTTCAGCAGGGCAAGAAACAGGGTTGGTACTCAGTGTGCTCCAACTCATTTTCCATCCAAGTGAAAAATTACAGTTCATGTTACTCCTCTAGTGAAGGTAAATGGAGCACAGGGTGAGGCAGACTGGGAGTTTTGTGACCTTGGGGTTGTCTTGATAATCTTAAGGGGGGTCCAAAATGCTCCTTGCTTGCTGAGGAGCCTCCAAGTGATTTCAATCCAAGCCAGTTATTCAGTTTTGTGTTATTTGCATGGCAAATGTGGTAGGTAAATGCTGCTTATCTGCTACTCCTGGGAGGTGCTGGTATACCTCAGTGGTATGAGGAACTTGGCACAATTTCTGCCCTGCCCCAGCTGGGGGTGTTACTCATCCCCAAGTGTGTCACTGCTGCAAGTGAGGTTTAAGAAAGAGGAGTTTCTCATTGCTGCCAGTTACTGAGATTTTGCCCCCAGGGCATACGGTGAATCCTCATCTTCTTGATCTGCAGACACTGTTGGTGCATGAAGCGTGAGGTTTTAGCCCACCCAGCAGACCGGGACAAGTCCTGTTTCCATGGTGGGTTCACCAAGGCAGTACTGGGGACAGTGAACAAGTCCACTAGGTGGTTTAGTCAAGAAAGATGCTGCCTCAGGTGGTGAGAAAAAAAGGATAGCATCCAGTTTATCCAAGCAGACAGACATTAGAGAGACACAGGTTTTGTAGAGATGAGTTATTGCTCCTGTGTCCACTGTCTGACTGTCTACCTTCTTGGGCTTCTTTATGTGTTATTCAGAGCTTTATTCTGTGTATTGACAGCTGCCTTCTTTGAAAGCTGCAGGGAAAGGATAACCCACTGCCTTCTTACCTAGCAGCTGCCAATAATGAAATCGCATGCAACAGGTTGCCCCTTCACTAAGAGAGCTCCATGGTTTTACAAATGTCTCGTTAGTGTGTGGGTAGTCTTTGCTCTCTCGAAGAGTTTTGCTTCTTGAAGCAAATTGATTTCCCCTCAAAGTCAACATAAAAGCAAAGTTTTCCAGCCCTTCACCATAGCTGATTCTTCCACAGGTGTCTCTGCAAGATCTAATATATGTGTTAATGTGCATGCAAGGGTGTTGCTAGGAAACTTGTGAGAGCTAAATGAGGAAATGCTGTTAATAGAGGCAGGCAATAGAGCCTCGAAAGTCTTCCTTTGCAGCTTTACCAATGGTTGCTATTATACAAATGGGGCCAACTGTGAAATTGGGTTGGGTCATCTCTAGTGTCAATGGACCTGCTTAAATAACAGGGGAAAAAAAAAAAAAAAAAAAAAAAGTTAGTTCCTGGGGTAAGGTCCTGCTGCAGCTCCAGCCCGGAGAAGCTACCCAGCACTGTCTGCTTTGGGAAGAGGTGGGCAAGGGTATTCTCTCTGGTTTAGCTTATGGGGTTTCTACTTTGCTTCATTTCACTGTGTATATATGATACTCACTGGTGGGTAGCTGCAGACCTTTCTGAGCCCCATACTGGGGTAGTATTTTCCCAATCAGCCTGAAAATACTGTGCAGTGCCTGGAGCACAAAGGTGAGTGACTTTTTGCCAGAGCCTTTGCGTGTCTTAGTGTTCAATTCAACTCAAATGTCATATTGAATGAGAGTTTTTTTCTTCCTTCTTCTGAGTGTAAGCACTCTGCAGAGCCCAAGAAATGCCAGTTTAGCAGGGAGTGCTTATACCTTACATGTGGAAAAGGCCAAAAAACTTTTGTCTCAGGCTGACTGAGGATATATTTAATACATGATCTTTCCAAGTTAAGTCTTATTGCCTTCCCCACCTAAAGGTACATGATTTCTGTAACTAGTGTTTTTTTTTCTTCCTGCCATTACTGTCCTCTAGAAGCAACTCTGTTTCTTCTCACAATGGGTTCTGGAGAGCTGAGCTTGCCCTCTTTTGGAGAAACATGGAACCATGTCTGTTATGTACTTCCCAATCACTGTAAAAATTAGGACTGGCAATTGGATCTGTGACATTCTTTTACTTCAGCTTCTCTTCTGCCTTCCTCAATGTATAACACTTCTCTTCATGTTTGCATTTGTTGCATTTATTTATTTATTTATTTAGAAACAGCTCTCCCCCAAAAACACCCAAGTCAACTGAACTACAGCAAAAAAAACGTGTCCTTTGGGAATAACCACTTGTTCTCTTAGCCGAAGAGTGACCTGCTGATGCTTAGTTTCAGCTGGAGAGGGAAAGCCATTTGTGCACTCTGATGTATGTATGCGGGTAAGTTGTGTACCAGATAAGTTTTTCTTGTAATGAGTTGGGGTGGAGTTGTTCTTCGTGAGTCCTGAAGTGTAACTCACTTATGTGACTCATCCTAAAGTAGCCCTGATGACTCTTTACCCCATCACATGCCAACTAACAGTTTTTGCGGGAAGAAAAAAAAAAAAAAAGAAGGAATATTTTAGCAATCTTAAAAGGCTTATTGGAACAATTCTCCACTCCCTTGCTCCCTAGTGTTCAAATCCAGAGTTTTTTTTTTTTTTTAATCTTAAAGAAGGCTTTGTGTGCCCAAAAGATTGTGTGATTTTTCCATCTCTTAGCTGATCTAATAAAAAATAATTCCTTTCCCTTCAAACTTTGTCTCATCTACAGCCTAAAGCCTTCACAACTACAATACTACCACTGTGAACGCAGTTGCCTCCATTTCAATGAATCCAGCTGTGGAGAACTCAAAGGGAAATTAGCTGTGCAACCATTAAAAATGACTCAAATGCATTTCTATGCACAAAAATGTCATAGCATTAAAATCTTGAGTCTTTTCAGGACGTGTCCCCTTTGTGTGGCTGGGAATTGCCCTTCTCTAATAGCATTAACCTCCCGTTTCTATCCCTTCATGACCATCAGGCATTAAAGATGAGAGAGTTTTTGTTGTACAGGGTTTTAATGCCTAGAAAAGCACCACTAACCCAAGGCTGAATCTGAATCTCGTCTGTCCTGAGTAGGGATGGTTTGGGGAGAAATGCCTTTGAAACTGATGAGTTGTTTGTAACACTAGAATAGATCTCAGTGAAGATGGATTAATGGGTAGAGTACAGCTGAGCTGGTGAAAGGTACATGATTAATTCAGTTTTGACAGGATTGTATAATTTATAGCCTGGATAACACCTCCAATTAGGCATATCACATTCTTTATTTCTGTGGCTGTAAAGACGAGGAGTACTACACCTGAATTTCAGGCCCAGCATGCTTGGTGCTGCACAATCAGAAATAAAGATACAATGAAAGAGAGAGCACCTGAGAAACGCTGAGACCATTCTGGAAAGCAGTGCTGCTCACTAATGAAATAGTGGACTTCTGAAACTTTAATGCTTAATGAATTCATGACATAAATTGCTTAATAAATTCATGACATTCATTTCCATAAATGCCTCCGTTTCTGTCTTTGTAACCATTCCCTCTCCTCATGGAGGCCAAGCTTGGTTCTAGGAAAAAATGAGCAGAGGAAGGCTTTTTAAGAGGGCAGATGGAGAACTGCAAAGGTTGATTTCTGGTTATGCTGTAGGTGATGTGATTTTTGGGGTGCCAGTGTCACCAGATGTTGAAGTTTTGCTTTGAGCAATGTGTGCGTTTCTGCCTTCTGGTGGACTGAAACTGTAACACAGGACTATGGAAAAGGTGATTTTTGCCTGAAAAGCAAACAGTCTGTCCCAGTCAGAAACAGGTCACCGTGCCTCATTACAGGCATGACCGAGGAGATGAAGAAAACTAGCTAGGCTGGAGCTCCTGCGTCCTGTGGGGACGTTAGCTGCCTTTGCAATGTGTCCACATTTAGCAGCCTAATGAAAGCACGCAGGGAAAGCAGGATTAGAATAAACTGCTGTCCCTTTGCACTTGGGGGCAGCAACACCTTCCCCCTTCAAAATAAATAAATATTGCTAAGTGGATTTTAGTCCAAGCCCCCACGTTGCTGTCACTGCAATGAAGACCTCACTGTTGTACCTGTCTGTCTGTAGGACCTGCAAGGCTGCTGTAGGAGCTCCAGCCGAGCACCTCCGTGTCACGCCTCGGGGCTACTGTTCGCTGCACAGCTTGTACTCCCCGTGTTAGCGATTTAGGAAGTATCGCTGCATAAATCACCATGCAGGGAAATAACTTCACGTCTCTGCCAAGTGTCTGTTTTCCTGTAGTCTTCCCCAGTATTTCGGGCTGGATTGGTAATGAGCAGAGAAGACTGCAGTGCTATATTTGTGTGGAAGTGAGACGCCAGATCCTTAAGGATTCATTTATTGGGCTGCAGGCCAAGGCATATTCTGGCCCTTGGTTGCATGTTACTTGCTGCCGTTAGTTTAATTCACTGTGGAAGGTTTGAAAGTTTGACTCCAAAGACATGAATGCACCATTGCACATGTCCTCTGGTTTTACTAGCAACGTGTGAGCAATGAGGAATGGGGGTAAGAAGGAAAGAATTAACAGTCAGTGTTGTTTGGGTGAGAGGATCAAGGTCTGCTCTGTGGCCCTGTGATCCTGCTGGTACAGCTAAGACAGAGACTGTGCTCCTGTCTCTTCACAACATCAGTGTCCAATGTATGAAACACTTCTGAAAAATATGGTTTGTAGCTCTTCACCTTTCTTTTCCTAGAGAAAGCCAGCTGCCTTGTTCTTGTTCAGGAGAAGGATTCATCCTTGGAGATGACACCGCTTTGAAACCATTATAGAACATAGTATCCCTGGTAACTGGAGCTGATAACATTTCTATACGCAGAAGAAATTTGTGGCATGTTAAACTGGGAGATGAATGGGTGGGGGAGGATACTTCATAAAAAGCTGCCCTGAGCCTCTAGAGGCAGGCTCAGGAGTCAATGTGAGAAGTCCAAATGCAACCCTTTGTAGAAGTGTAAACCCAGTGCCCAGGCAGTAATGTCTGCATCATCTTTCAGTGTATGTCCAGGAAAGTCACTTAGACCTTGCCTGCCCTGTGTACATTTTATTTTTTTTAAAACTGTGTTAGTTCATATACCACTCCGAGACAACTTCAGTTTGGTTAGCATGCCCTGTATCAGTATAAACTTGCTCTGATTATCTGATGACTAAAACATATCACTGCAACAGCACTTAAATTCAATTTAAAGCTTTTGATTCACTACCACATGCAAATGCGGAGAAGGTGAGGGGCCTGGGCTTCTTCAGCCTGGAGAAGAATGGGATTGGAGGACCAAAGAGCCATCTTTCCATGCATCCATGGAGGTCATCAAGAAGGTGGAAAAAGCTTTTTACTGAAGGTAATTAATGTCTGGAACAGGTTTCCCAGAGAGGTTGTGAAGTCTGTGTCCTTGGGGGTTTTGAAGAACTGATTGGTCAAAGCCCTGAGCAATCTAGTCTGAAGTGAATGTTGACCCTGCTGAAATTGTGAATTTGCTAATTATTTTTGCAGTAAGAAGTGTTTTTAAAAAGTTACTTTTTATTATTATTTTTTTCTCAACTTAGTCACCTTATAGGCAACATTTTTTAAATTCAAAGCTTTAAGGAGAAAAAAAAAAACACTTTCAAATCCCTTCTTTATTTGAGAAGCACTAGGACTAAAATCACTCCACAAAAAGATGCAATATGAGTAAAAACACTTTTGCTAAAAATTCAGTTGAAGCACTTGCATCTGGCCTATGTAAAAGCTCCAGTTTTAGACGTATTTGGACGCAGCAAATGATACTGGGAGCAGTAACTAGGACTTCTCAGATTTATTTCATATTCATTTTCCAGTTTCACCCCAAGGGGCTACTGGTAATGAGGCCCCCCATAGGTTGGTCGAGTGCATGCCTTTGAAGAACACACAGATGAAGAAAAAAGTGAATTTATTATTAAGGGCTTAATTTAGCTAAATGGAGTTGAATCTGTGCTACCAAACTGACAACTCCAATCCATTTCCAGAAAGTCTGGAGAATTCCTTAGTTCTCCAGTCCTATATGAAGGACTACGTGTCCCCCCAAAAGAACATGTTGTCCCTGACCAGCTACCCAACTGCTGCTACCTCTTATCTTTTGGGAGCTCCCAATTTTCAAAAGGATAGCTTTGTTTAGAGGTCATATATGCCCTGCTCCTGATACAGTACAGAGAAATCCAGGCACGGTGTGATAACACAGACCTTGAAAGAGGGAGCAGAGAATGCAGAGCAGAGGAGAATAAGAATGGGGTGATAAGATAGAGGGTGCAGGATAACACTGGACATCCTAGGTCTGTAAGCAGCTCACCAGAGGTGAGACAAAGAAATGTGAACCTCAGAGATGGGCAAAAGCAGTCTTAGGGTTATCAAAAATAAAACAGAACGAAATCCAACATGCATAAAACTCTCTATGTGTAGTAAATTTGGATGCAGTGTGGACTTGCAGACCAAGGAAGAAGGAGTAAGGTGTAAAACATTGCTAGAAAATGTGTAAAAACCTCTCCATATGGACCTTAGAAGGAGGGGAAAGAACGTACTAGCATCGTACTCTGCCCTGCAAAACGAAAGGGAGGGTGTTTGCCAGGAATATTGTGTAAAGTAAGTTTAAATGTATTATCACTTAGACTTTTTCCAGGTAATATTATTCCTTCTTTACTTTTTTTTTTTTTCTTTTCCCCCTGCAATAATGAGGTCTGGGCATATATTTTTTCTTTGATTAGACTGTTAAGATTTCAATTACACTGGTAATAAATTATTGGATTTATATATAAGTCTCATTTCCATATTGTCTGTAATGAGAATTTGAATGCAACAATGGCAGTCGGCAGGTGGATGATAGCTATGAAAAAAATAGAAAAGGAACAATGACTGGAAGGGGTAAGAACTTCCTCTGTCTCCGCTTTGTGCCCTCCAGTATGAAGCGTGTTCTCCTGCCCTCCTAATGTGCAGTATCCCGCTAGACTAAGATCCTTTTGGGATGTTTTCTGGAGAAACCAGCAAGTGAGAAATACCACAGACAGCCACCAACTGCAAGTCAGACAGCACGAGGAAAGTATGTGAGATGCAGTTTTCCCAAAGGTGGGGGCAAGCAAACTTTTAAATTACTGTCTCTATTAGTCTGTCCCTGAGCTCAGGGCTCTACTTGCTGCATCTGTCCTTTTCCATCTTTATTTTTATTTATTTATTTATTTTTTAATGTGAGAGGAACACTGTTAAGATCCCCGAGACTCTCCTTCTGCATGCAGTGGCTGCGCTCAGTCTCTGCTGTGCTGGAATGCCAGCCCCAAAACCGAGAAATGCTTTTGCCAGTGTGACCCATTCTGTCTCAGACCATTTTGCAAAGATAAGCAAAAAGTGAGGCGAGTGGTGTAGTGGGTTTTGTGCTGCTGAGCGAGGCACCTCGCTGAGACCGCTGCTCTCATTTCTCATACTGTACCCGTATTGTTGTTGAAAGCATTCATTTCCATTCACCTTTAGGAGTTTAATTTGCATAATCATTTTTCTTGCGAGGCTTCAGAATTGGCTGATCTGGACTCTCCACTTCAAAATATCTTAACTGTGCTTTTCAATATGCACACAATGCGGTGAGATAGAACAAAACGATCTTGTTGTGTTACCATAGAGACATCCAGGGTCTAAGAAGGGTTCCTGCTCAAAATCGGACTGTTAAAGGGACAAGGGGCTGTTAAAATTTGATGGAGGGTTTAATCCTTGACCGGGCACTGGTATAAATCAGTGCAGTCAGGATGAAATGAACTGGCAGTCCCCGTGTAGTGCTTTACAGACAGCACTCTTCAGTCCAAACTGGTCCAAAGGGGCTGTCGTCTCGGTAGTTTCAGCAAAAAAAAAAAAAAAAAGGAGATGGAGGGAGGGGGGTGGAAGGGCCAGGAAATTCACTTGAAAATGTTAAATCACTTTACGCTTTTCCTTCATTTCACCCCTTCTTTTGATTTGAGTGCTAATTAAGAGACTTTCCCTTGCACTTAAACAACCAAACTTTGCTTTTTAAGCATACATTTTTTAAACAGTGCTAAATGAATGCAGCAGAGAGGGAAGGTGCCAGGCTGACATCTCCGCTCTGGAGACCCAAGTCCTACGTTCACAGATGAAGGCATAATAGCAGGACTTTAGCCGCATTCCTGCACTGACCTGGAGAAAACGTGCTTCAGACCGAGAGGACGCTACACTCTGTGAGCCTGCTGAGTTTTCAGTGTTGGTGCTGTAATTGCCAGCTATAATGATGGTTTTGTGCAATGGAGGGAGAAGAAAATGTCTCACTATGTACATAAAGGGAAGCAAAAATTGGTTGGGAGTAGATTCAGCAACAAAACCTCCTAGCAGTTAACACTCTCTTTGCTTGGGACTACAGTGTCTGAGCCATCCATCTAAGCATGAGAAGGGTGCTTACAGACCTTGCTTTAAGCCAACTCCTTTAAAAGCCCTCATGCAATACGGGGAGGCAATGCTTTGCCCCGTGGTAGCTAAATAAGG